GAAACTCACGATCGTGCGCTGCTTTGGGCCGGCTTCTGGGATGGGGACCCCGAGAACCGCACGACCCAAGCAACGCTCTCCAACTTTGCTAAGGCAATAGAGCGTGCGACCGTCCACCCGGACAGCTTCCTGGGCCAAGCCATCGAGGCGAGTTTGAACCTCGATGCCTGCTACGAAGATGCCCAGACCAGTGCGCTTGCAGGTAACATGTGGTCAGTTGCAAGCATGAGCTTCGTGCTCGGGATGCGCGAAAGGGCACAGGGAACGTATATCGCACTGGTCAACAAACGGATCAGAGGGGAGCGGAACTTGTCGCAGTCCGTGCTGTCCACCCATGAAATCCCGACAGTGGGGCTCGCAGCCTGGGGGCTCGGGTTCTGGTCTCCGAAAGTGATGGTTCTGGACCTCATGGGCACGTGCGACCAGACGAGCCCAGCGCTGCAGAAACAACTTCTCACCCGTCTGCCCTTCTGGGCCAAGTCCATGGCGAACTGGAGCCCAGAAGCCTTCGCGNNTGCATCGACTGCTCGGGCGCTTGCAGCCTGGACGAGGCCTTGGCAGAGCACGTGGAGAAGCTGGTGAAGGCACCTGTCAAGGGGCCATAGTTCGTTTCTTCCTGTACTTGGAAAATTTGCAGGGAACCTCAAGCATAGGGGCAACAAGGAACTGCCAAAATAGTTCTAGCTTGAAACACAACCAAGGGACCCCAAAACAGTATTGCTAATCCTACTCTAAGCCTGAGCCCCAAACCCGACAGACGCCTTAATTGAACCCGAATGTAGAAATAAAACTTACTCGAAACCTGAACCCAAACCCTCGTACTAGTTACTAGTACTGTTCTGAACGGAACCCGAAAAAAAAAGTCCGACTCAGGCCCTAAACCCTAAACCCTATAAAACCCTCAACCCTATAAACCCTAAACCCTAAATCAGGCCAAGGAGGAGCAGGACCGGAAGGACCAGGAGCTCCGACAGGCGCGCGGAGGTTTCCAGCGCGTGCCCCTGAACCCCGAACCTAAATCGCCCCAAACCCTAAATCCTAAGTTGCCCTGAATCCATTGTCCCCTAAGCCCTAAACCCTAAAGTGCCCTGATTCCATATTTTTCCCTAAACCCTAAACTCTAAATTGCCCTGAAACCGTTTTTCCACATTTTCCCTAAGCCCTAAACCTAAACGGCCCTAAAATGCTGAAAATGGCTCCCTGCCAGGTCGTGAGTCCCGACCTCGCAGTCAGGAGCACCGGGCCTGCGGGGCTCAGCCGTGGCGAGGTTGGCCTCGGCTATAAGCTGATGGGGAGGCTGCTGACTCAGGACACTTGAGTTTAGGGTTTGGGGTTGTTTAGGGTTGTTGGTTTGGGGTTTAGGGTCTAGGGTTTAGGGACTCAGGACAATTGGGACAAGGCCAGAGAGGTGAAGAACTTCACGGATGTTTTGCACCAGAACCTGGCAGACCGACTCACCCAGGCGAAGCGTGGAATTCAGGAACCCGCCGTCTCCGAGAGGCGACTGCGGGTGGAGCAACTCCTCCGCCAGAATGCTGATCCGAACGCTCTGGACCGTCTCGGCCACACAGCCCTCTTCGGTGCTGCGTACGAAGGACACCCGGAGCTGGTCGAGGCGCTGCTGAAGGCCGGTGCCCAGCTGGATGCCCGCGACGAGCAGGGCTTCACGGCCCTCATCTATGCTGCAAACGCTGGCCATCTGAAGGTGGTGGAGGCGTTGGTGAAGGCCGGAGCTCAGCTGGAGCCGCGGAATGAGCGGGGCATCACAGCCTGCATGCTCGCTGCAAACAAGGGCCACTTGAAGGTGGTGGAGGCGTTGGTGAAGGCCGGAGCTCAGCTGGATGCCCGGAGTGAGCAAGGCTTCACAGCCCTCATGTCTGCTTCAAACGAAGGCCACTTGAAGGTGGTCGAGGCTTTGCTGAGGGCTGGTGCCCAGCCGCATTTGAAGGATGTGGCTGGCAAAACAGCCTTTGACTATGCACGAGAGCAGGGGCACTTGCAGATTGCGGATGTCCTGAAGCATCTGACTGGACATGGTCAAAAGCCCCCAAAACCCTAAACTCGAACTCCTCAACCCTACGAAAGACCGAAGGCCTAGACCCCCCAAAGGTAATCCCCAAACCCTGCTCTATCCGACGGTCCGGACACGAAATCTCGGAACGACCTGCCGGCGCCTTTTGAGATCCAGGGCAGTGACTCTGCGTGTTGCACCGGTGCCACGGTGACTGATGGAGTGCTCCCCGTGAATCAGGGTGTCTCCAATAGGGGCCTTAATAATTAGAATGGGGTCTTGGGGTATCATACTATAAATTAGAATAAGGAACCCCCCCAAAAAACCCTATTCTGAGTATTATAGAAGGCCCCTACATGACGGCGATCTGAATCCTGAGTCTGCGAAGAACAGCCCGGCAGCTGATCGTGCAAAGAGCGCTGATCGGCGAGGGTCTGATGACACGCCCTTTTCGTTTCGTGGCACCTACCTCAACTTACAAAGACCCCAAACCCGGCAAGTAAGGTTCAAGTCTTTTGGTGTTTGGGGCTCGGGGTCTGGGTTAGGAATTCAGGTCGAGGGCTCCTTGTGAGAGGGGCGTACAAGGTGAAGGCGCTAAGCCCTGAACGCCCTCAGCTCCGAACCTTTGAGTTGAACCCGGAGGGGTTAGTGGCCACCGCAGGAACTCTGGAATGATCCTAACTACGAACTATATGGGGCTTTCCGAAAATTAATTGGGGCACCTTACATTGGGTCCTGATAATAAGGATCCTACTATTTAGGGTACTATATTAGCAGCTAGTGTGCTGACTGCACCCTCAATGCACAACCTTGGAATCTATGCGCCTTTCCGGCGGCGGTTTCCAAAGAAAGGGGGTAGAACGTAAGAGCCATTCATAGAGAGGTATCCTCACGGTTAGCATTTAAGCGGTGATTCGAAGGGCCACTTTTTCAGGGGATGCTACAAGCTAAGGGGTACCATGCCAAGGCTGCATTGTCATGCTGACTGAATTCTAATTTTATTTAATTTACACTTTCAATTCCAACTCCAACTCCATCCAAATCCAAATCGATATTCGGGTGCTAATACGCTATAATGCTAATGCTAATGCTAAATGCTACTACTAAGTGCTGGATGCTAGTTCCAGGTGCTAAATGGAGTGCTTATGCTAATGCTCATGCGGATACGTGTCCCAAACCCAATCCCAATGCCAATCCCAGATACTACGAAGATTAACACTCGTACTACTCATTATACCACTAACACGAAAATCATTATGGGATGTCATATATAACAATATGACGATTTGAAGCGTAGCCCGGAAAAAGCCTTCAGATGCCTGGTAAGCCTGGTGATGAGTTAGGTCTGGATGGTGAAGGTGATGGTGATATGGGTGGTCTAGGGCTTACGGGGGGTCAGTTGAGGTCGACCAGGAGTGCTGCGCTAAGATATTGCGGCCTCAATTTATGAATTATGCAATTTCTTGAGGTTTGCCTTGGTTTGAGGGCTTTTGGGTGGCACACTCTGTTGAAAGGTTTCTTATCAGGGTTTCTACAGGGGTTCCAGGTTCAGGGCTGGGGGTTGAAACGCTAAACCCAAACCTTAAACCCTGAATTCTTCGAGGGGCTTTGCACCCTGTTGCCTTCTCTCCATAGAAAACCCTAAACCCTGAACCCTAAACCGCAATATACCATCTTCGTTTGGTTTAGGGTTTAGGGTTTATGCAGAGCTTCTTGATGGTGCTGCCCTGAACCTTCAGAAACTGATAGAATCCGTATGGAATTGTAATTGCAGGTTTACGATAATTTAAATTCAGAGCTCAAGAGCCAAAACACCAGCTACTTCCTCAGAAATGACTCCAAACCCCAAGCCCCAAATCCTAGATCCGAAGCCCTAAACCCACAACTCTAAATCGCAAAACCCCACTGGCCGCCGAGTCCGCAAGAAGCCTTCTTGAACCCTTATTCATTATCGATCCCTTCAAAAAGCCCGTAAAGAACCAACATACATCCTTGCCTTTAAGAGAAGCCTTGTAGGTCCCTTGTAGGCCCCGCGAGAGAGCCCGTAAACAGCCCTTATGGATCCCACGAGAGGACCCTTATCGGTCCCTTTTGGAACCCGTATATCAACCTGGAAGATCCCTCATGGATCCCTGAAGAGAGCACCTGTTTGATCCCAAGAGCCCTAAACCCTAAACCCT